CCTAAAAACTAAACCTTAAACCTTAAACCCTGGACCCTAAACCCTAAACCCAAAGCCCTAGACCCTAAACCCTGAACCCTAAACCCTAGACCCTAGACCCTAAACCCTAAACCCTAAAGCGCTAAACCCTAAACTCCTCTTAGCCCGAAGCCGTTTCCCCAGGCCCGGTTAGCTCAGTGGCAGAACCAGCTCACGGAAGCAAAGGCGGCTTCGGCTTTTTCAAGGGTTTAGGGTTTAGGGTTTGGGGTTTCAGGATAATGAATCTAATTTGTTTTTTTTCGGTGTGATATGAATTCGTGCTTTTTTGTTTTTTGATTTGTTTTTTTTGTAGAGAGTGTTGGGTTTCATTTCCAAGGGCCGAGGGGATTTCAGATTTTGGCCTCGGGGGTTTGGGATCTGTTTAGGTTTTCAGGCGGGTTTGAGGGTCTAGGGGTTTAAGGCCTAGGGTTCAGGGTTTCAGTGGTTCAGGTGACAGGGTTTACCTTTTCTGCCAGAGCCCCACAATATTGTTTAAAACAATTCTCTCCGTCTTCTTGTGCAAAGCTTAAGCATAGCTCAGCACATAAGTCGTCATGCCTAAGCCGTTGACGAACTCAAAAATGTTCGGCTTTTGGCATTCAGATAAGGTCGTTGGTTTCCAGTTTAGGGTTTATTATAGGGCCGAAATAATATACATAAAGGAGCCCAAAACCCTATGCTACTTATTAAGGCCCCTATCTTAGGGCTTTGAGAGACATGGGAAGACTGCCAGAGTTCAAGCTCCGAAGGGCGTCGTCAGCGAGGGGGTACCATGTTTTCCCTAAACCCTAGACCCTAAACCCTAAACCCTGGACCCTAAACCCTAAACCCTAAACCAGGCTTCTGCGGGACGAGGGCTGTTTTTCGGACTTTCGATGGGCTTGGGACTATGGGCTTCGGGTTACCCATAGGCCCTAAAGCAGTTCCTTTTTGGGAGTTCATATATAGAATCCTATAAGGTAACCCCACAAAGGAACTACTTTACGGCCTATACGGGTACCCGAACTCCGAAACCCTAAACCCGAAACCCTAAACCCTAAACCCGAACTCCGAAACCTAAAGGCGGAGATCTGAGGTTTAGCGCTTGAACTCGACCTTTGGGTCCTGGGCTCATTCCCGCCCAGGCTGCTTTTCATAGAGCCGACACAAGGTGTAGGGAGGTATGCCGAGGGTTTAGATTATTAGGGTTTAGGGTTTTTAGGGTTCAGTAGGGAATTTGGGTTTAGGGTTTACAGTAGGGAATTTGGGTTTAGGGTTTAGGGCCTGTTTAGGGTTTAGATGAGTGTGGAAGTCCCTCACATGACAGGTTGGACCAGATCCCACAGCTCGACGCCCACTAAAGCTCCCACCCAATCGAAAACCTACTCCCAGGCTGCCACGATCCGTGCCGAGTCCGCAAAAGTCGAGATGACCAAATTGAAGGAGTCGTATCTGAAGGCCGGCAGTAGTGTAGGGTTTTTGGTTTAGGGTTTTCGGGTTCGGGGTTTAGGGTTAGGCTTTTTCGGTTTCGTGTTTAGGGGCTTCGCGAGGGGCTTTCCTAAGAACCCAGGCCGCGTAGTCTGAGCTTCGAACCTGGGGTGGGGGATCGAGCCAAATCAAGTTTCAGATCAGAAAATAAAGGACCGGCTCAAGACCTTGGATTGTATTTAGGGCTTAGGGTTTAGGGTTTAGGGTAGATCCTGGTCACAGCGATGTTGGGCCTAAGGGGCTCAGGGAAGGTTTGAGGTTTAACTTGAGAAGTCGACCTTCTCAAAACTTCAAAAGCCAGAGATGTCCGGAATGCGCAACTCTGCCGTGTCGAGTGTTTCCGAAACCAGAGTTCAGAGCCGGGCCCAGGACCTCCGGTTGATGATATCAAGCCTGCAGTACCCATAATAAGGAATATACCATAATTCCCATAGTTTAAGGTCCTTGATGAAGGTAATATCAGGATTTCTATCATCAACAGTAGGATGTAGAGTTTAAGGTTTAGGGGCTTGGGTTTGTTCGGATTCAGGGTTTGCGTCTCAACGAGGCTGTTGGTTTTGGATGAGGCGTATAGGAAACTGCCAACACAGCAGTACCAATATCAAAGTCATAAATTTAAAAAGCAACAGTATAGTACTAGAAGTAGGAATACTTGAATACTACTTGTACATTGTGCGGGAATTCAGAACACTGATCTTGTGGAACAAGCTTGGTAATCTTGGCAACCTTGACCATCTTGATCATCTTGCCCCACTTGCCCCACTTGCTAACAGAAGATGAATAATAATGCAAATAATACAAACAATGACGGTACTCATCAGAAAAGCGAATACTGGCAATGATGATAGCACCTTTTTCTCTTGGAGTGTTTTCGTAGCCCTCAGAGCAAGACCTCAAATTCGAAACGCAACCCCCCCGCAGTTACAAAGCCTCACTACAGACGCCATAATAAGTCGGCTAGGGTCTTGGGTGCTACTTCGCCCACTTTTGTTGTGAGGTTTCTGTGCCATAAACGGTTAGGGAAGCTTCAGGTACTCGTATGCTGCTACTACTTACCCAAGCCCCCAGAAACGGGACTCCAAGCACCTAAACCCTAAGCCTATGTTGCCGTACAAGACCAAGAGCAGACTTTTCAAGACGTTCTGTCATGATATCCTATCCTAGACCTCCCAACTACCCTCTATCATGCCCCAAGTACCCTCTGTTGAGGACCATAAGGGCTCTATGCAAGGGTACTTGGGGCGCTTCATATTAATAAATTGTCGGTGCACTGGGCAAACGCCCGAAGCTTGCATGAAGGAGATCTTGCAGCTCCGGCAGCAGCTTAGCCTTAAGCAGCTGACGGAGTCGACGCTAGGCGAGGCCTTTTGCGTTGACACCTTTTCTGTACTTCCTTACAAAATTCAAGGCATCACGGTTTTGTGCTCGAGGGCTTTCGGGGGTGTTTAGGCGTTATCTCGTGTTTAGGGCTAGTTTGGGTCTTTTGGGGTTTTGGGGGTCAGGGCTTTACGGCTTTCGGGTTTTGAGTTGAAGCTCCAACCCTTGAGCTTGCAGTCGACCGTTTACAGGTCGGATTTTGGTGTTGGCTAAACCCACCAAAATCATCGGCACCACTGGCACCCTCACCACACAGCCAAATCTGAAGACGGAAATGAGGGAGCCGATCCATCCCTGAGCCCAGGAAGGGGGAGGAGTTTGTGCCCGACAACGTGTCTCATCTTCCGCAGGAGCCGGAGCAGGTGAGGCTCACTGATGAATGTGGGTAGTTCTCTAAAGGAGGATCCCTCTTAAGGGACCCTCATTTAAAGAGCTACCCATGTATAGGTGGGAAGAATTAGTAGCTGTACCCCCTTACTGTCTGAATATACCTATACCCTATAATGAACCCCAGACTCCTATTCTAATTATGAAAGCTCCTATATTGGGTTGTATGGCCTCCTCAGTGCTGAATTCTTCGTCCCAGGTTTAACAAATGCCCAATTCCTACATCCGGAAGTGTAAAAACGATCCGTGCATCCCATGCCGAGAGTTCGAAAGAGCAAGTTTCAAAAGCCCTACCTAATCTAGAGGAAAGAATCAGCCTGTACTATGTTGTAGACTTCTACTGGAGCCTGCCCGATTGTATGCACTGCGTTTGATACGCGAGTAACTTGTGACTTCCTCTTCACCGAAGTGTGTCGATGGTTTGAAGGTGCACTCCGTTTTTAGGGTTTGGGGTTTAGGGCGACGGGGCCCAACTAAGGATTTAGGGCCATTAAGCCCTAAATCCTAAAACCCCAAGTTTGGCCCTCATCGCGAGACCGTCATCGAGATCGAGAGCACAGACAAAACCGCCGACGAGGTCAAAGTGCTGGAGATGCCCCTGGGCTTTTCCCTAAGGGTCCATGTGCTCAT